TCCCCCTACTCTCATAAACGTTTCTGTTTACACCTCTGTGAAACACATCAATCCAACAGGCTGACATGCCTCTTATTGATGGCACAGATATACTCATCTTACCAAGCGATACGGGTATTTGGAGTGTTCAATGTCACTCGATCCCAGCAACTGGTTTGGTAAGTCAAGCATTAAATGTGACACCGAGGATGAGCTAAACTGTGAATCATTCTTCTTTTCATTGCTGCAGCCTCATTGCATCACCACAGCGTAGAATCGTTTCTAAACCTTCGGCTGTGATCTAATGACAGTGTCTTTTTTGCTGCTTTTATTTAGACATCATCTGCTCTGCGTGCTGAGCGCTTCCAACCTGAGGTCTCCTGTGATATACAACAGGAGCAGGTCCAGTTACAGGTGTGCGGTTGAGCTAAAAAGCCTGTAAAGCAGCCTTCCCGGGATCTTTTCTGTATCCATAAGGAGCTGAACGAATGACACAGCTTTGGATTTATAGGTCGAGGCCTCCAGCCGGGTGGCAAGCTGCAGCGGGGCCCGGGCAGCACAGTGGCAACACCACTTCCATCTGTTTCCATGGTCTGCTCATATCTGCATGCTAATCCTTCTCTACCCACACCTTCATGAAAAAACACCCCGGTGGCAGCGCTGCCGCTGCAGCTCGTTCAGGATGAGGAATGAGCGGAGCGCGGAGCACAGAGACGTGGACCTGAGGTTGATGGGATGTGAAATGCAGATAGAGTAGGGAGTAAAAATCTGAGATTAGTGGAAAATCAAAGGGGCAAGAAGCAGAACTGGCACCCTGGCTATCTAATTTCCACATAAAAATGCTGTCATCACCGAAGCCCGCGCACCTTGCAGATGGACTTGATGTTTGCTAATACATGTAAAACATGCAGAGGAAAGTCAAAGTCAGTTATCCGTCATTATATTAAGGTCTGAAGGTCAATGACATTCAGCGGGTGTTGAAGCACAGCTCCGCGGCTCCGTTCAGCAGATATAGCTGCTGGCAAAAGTCTTCTCAAGCTGACTAATCATTTGTGTATGCAGCTATAATATGCTTTCAATGTCTGAAAATACATATCATCCATCAAAGCACGATTGTAATGTCTTTGGGCTAGAAAAGGGCACTGGGAGTAGGTGTGGCATATCTAAGATCTAATAAATATACATTTCCTCAGGCAAGAAGAGGAAGCTGTGAGATCTAAGGATTCATTTCCTTCTCTGCCGACAGAGCAGATAAGGTTTGATACAGTGTAAGCATGCAAAAGTCTATATTTTGCAAGTGAAATGTAGAATTTCATAAATATATGTTTATATAGCACTAAAATGGCTAACAGTAAAAACCCT